AAATCGGGTTTTCGCATTTCCATCATTTCCTGTAACGGAGATGCAAGGGCTAGCGACTAGGAGGTCACTCTACTCTTTAAGCCGGTCATTGTTATCGCACGTTCGTCACGGAATCGCAATCGACCCAGCCGCCGGTGGATGCTGCAGAGAAGCGCCTCCGCTTGATTCACTGTGGTCCGCCGTACAACACCGCGGCGTTAAGGTTAATGCGATTCAGGTAAGTAAAGATCTTATTGTAGTTTCCGGAGATTCAAGTTTCTTGGCGCTTGATCAGCGAATTATTGCCCGTCTTGTTGTTTGTGATACTTTGGAATCAGAATGCGAAAATTGTATGTGATTTGAACTGTGTACTATGTTTTGGGAGCAGTTTATCTGTAATTTGGATAAATTCAATTCTTTTCTGTCATTTTGTTTTGCTCTGAGCTTGTTGTATCATTTGGGTTTCTCACTCTGAGTTCTTGGGGTTTTTTTCAGCTAAGGCAAGGGAATGTAATCGAACGAGCAGGTTGGGTTTTTGAGGTTTTCTCCATTTCATTATACAGCCGAACGTTTATGGACAGATATGATTTAACTCAATTTGATGGATCCTTCACCTTCAGGACGTACTTTCCGGGTTAGTTTTGTGGATATTGTTTTAAATATTCAGTCTTTTGGTTCTATGCAATGAGAAACACGTATTATCTTTTCATGTTGTAGGTTGTGGAGGCAGAGCATAAACAACAGGGTAGAGGAGGAGCCTCCATGCAGGTGTGTTTACTTCAAACTCTTCAGTAGTAAATACTCCTTAGGTACTTAAGTGAAAGCAGTGGAGATATGAGTATTTCTTATACGGAAGTCCAAATGTCAATTATCATATTCTCCGCGAAAGCACCAACTAAGGAATGCAGAACCAGATTTATGTTGGAAATTTAAACTGATTTAGTGATAAGGCACGTCGTATTTGATATATGCAGAACAATTTTGTTAGTTATGGGTTTGATGATACTTCGGTAATGGCCGGGATAGCTCAGTTGGTAGAGAAGAGGACTGAAAATCCTCGTGTCACAGTTCACATCTCTTCTGTCTTAGCTTTTGGTAGTTGACTTGTTATACTGTCAACAATTTAATGTTCGTGTTACATTGGCCTTTGTGTTGATACTCTGTTTCTTAGCCTCAATTTATCCATCTTTCCTCTTTGGGGGAAACAGGTAGAGCTTCGCGATGTTGACAACGGGAATAAACTTAACTTGCGATTTGGAACTGAGGAGTCGGTTGAGAGTATGTTGCTTATTCCGTAGCATTCATAGCTTTTATTGAATCATTTTGGTGTGATATTGATTGCATCAATTTACTGCAGAGGTTTTTGTTCAGGAGAAATCTTTCACATGTTTATATACAGAGGGAGATACTGTATTTCTGATTGAGTGAGTCCATTTTCCTTACCTGTTTCAAAGACCTTATATTCAGTAGGACCATGAGTTGTAAAACATTATGTCTTAAATTATGTGTATCCAACAGGCCCGATACGTTTGAGCAAGTTGAAGTGCCACTGGACATATTTGGCAAAGCTGCTGTATATTTAAAAGGTTGGTAGCACGATTATGAAGATTTGTAGTGTATGTCCTGCTTTTGGATCTATTGGTGTAGCAACATCAATCCATTTTGTTTGTTTTTGCTACAAACCATTTGGCATGTTCCATAAGCTTTATCGTATCTGTTTATCTTTTCCTTCTCCGTGATATCTATCATGTTTTTGACAGAGGAAATGAAAGTTCAGTTGCAGCTGTATGATGGAAGAGCTTTATCTGCATCTCTCCCTAAGCATGTCACATGCACAATTGAAGAAACACAACTTCCCATGAAAGGCTTAACATCAGCTCCTCGGTATGTCTTTTTCTTTAATATCATGATCACTTTTCACTCTTTACATATTATTGATTCACACATTTTCTTTCTCCAACATTGCGAATCAAACACCCTAATTCTTTAAATTGCAGGTACAAGAGAGCTCTCCTTGATAATGGCTCCACTATTCAGGTAAATTCTCTTTACTTTGGAAGTTATAGCAATTAATATTCCTTTATCTTCGATCTTTCCTGCGATCAGCAACTACCAAATAACTCTCGGTTCCTCAGGTACCATCTTATCTCGAGGCAGGTGAAAAGATTGTGGTAAACACTGAGGATGATTCTTTTGTTAAAAGGTAAGCCACTCTTTAATTTAGGTCGATGTTCTTTCTTGTTATACGATTTTCTTAAGACTTGTTGTTGTTTTTTTTTTGCGTTCTCTGATCACAGGGACAACAAATGAAAGCGTAGTCAAATGTTTATCAACTATGGAGGACACATTGGATTAATAGAAAGATTAGAGTCTTTAAGACATTATTATTATTCCAGTTCTCATAATCTCAGAGCCTTTGAGATTTGCGTTGATTAATGTTACAAGTTACAAGTTTTATATAAAGTTTTACAGAATAAGAAAGATTACAGATTCCTAAGGTTAATTTAACATTGTGCTTTTAGTGGCTCAAGGATCCATCAAATAGAGCGTTTGGATCGAACCCAGATAAAAAGTGTTAACCATGGCACTACCACTATTAGTCATTCTCTCTACTTGTGCATAATTTCTTCAAATCAGCTCATTGCAAATCTCAATTGAATAACAAAAAAAAAAAAAAGCTAATTAATGTAGAATTCAATCGCCGACAATAATTGTTTTTTAAAAAACGAGAAATTAATCAAATTTCGTTAAAATTCACAGTTGAATAAACAACTCCGCTTGTCTTCTCCGTTCGAAAACATAGAAAGAAAGTGAAGTAAATGGTTTCGTTTCCAGTGAAACCACTCCTCGTCGTCGTCGTGTTGACTATTTCTCTCCTCCTCGCCGTGATTCTGCTATCTCCGTCGCCTCAGTTCGTGCACACTCCACTCTCCTCTTCGGGTTCTTTGCTGTAAGCGATCGCCTCTGATCTAGATCTCACTTTATTATCGTAAACGAGGGAAAATTGTAAATTTCAGATATCTTAGGTCGATTTGTTTAGTTGGGTATCATTCGATCAACTGTTCTTCGGATCTGGAATTACAAAATGATACTAAAATTGGCGTAAATTTTCCAGTTTATACTGACATAGTAGAAGAACCTTTGAAGTTTTCGTTTTCTTGGCTTTTTTGCGGAGAGATTGTCAAAATGTTAGTAGAAAAA